TCCCTTATATTGTACATCAGCTATCTGCCCACGCCCACACCTTCTCCAGGCCCTCCTCCTGCACAGGCTCGCGGTAAGGACCCTGGCTCCCTACTGAGTCACACAGTTCACCTTCCAGACTTCTCAAGTTGACACAATGCATCAACCATAACAGTGGGGAACAGAGAGGCACAGGGCAATCTTGAAATTTTGTCTGTGGTGCTCAGAATAAAGTGTCTTAGTCCATTCTGGCTGTTACAACAAAATGCCATAAACTGAGCAATTTATAAACCATAGATATTTATTTCTGATAGGTCTTTAGGCTGCTTTAGCGTTTGGCGAGGGCCCACTTTGTGGTTCGCAGACAGCATCTTTTCTTGTGCCTTCCCGCGGTGGGACCAGGAGTCTCTCTGGTCTCTTTTATGAAGGAACTAATCTCACTTCTGAGGGCTTCATGTTTACGAGCTCATCATCTCCCTTAAAGAACTCATCTCCTAATATCTTCACCATGAGGGGCAGGCTTTCAGCGTAGGAATTTGGGGCATTCGGACGCAGCACGGAGTGCCTGCCTGGACTCTTCTGTGTCCGTAGTGGGACGAAATGTGCGGGTCTTGGCCAGGAATTTCTCCGTCGCTGCCATGCAGGCCTCATCTCTAGTCAGCAGGGCACCTCCTGCCCGGACAGAGAGGCCGAGGAATAAGGAAGAAGAGCTGCAGGATCCGCTCACCCTGCGATCACCGTGTCCTTCGGGGCCCAGCACAAGCCACGAGTGGGGATTCTCTTTTCTCGCGTTACAAACGAGCAAGCTAAGGTGCAGCAAGCTTGAAATGACCACCTCCTGGTCACAGAGCCTGCGGCAAGCCAAGTCTGGATCTAAACCTGTCTTTTGATTCTAAGCCCAGTGCATTTTCTGGCGCATGGGAAGAAGCAGGGATCCGGCAAAGAGTGGCAGGCACGGCAAAGGGGCTGCAGGGCTGGCGAGAGACAAGGTCCCGGGGCAGGACTGTGCGGCCCAGCCGCTGTTGCTCCCGAGGTGCTGAGGAAGGTGACTTATGTGCTTATAAGCAGGCAGAAGGGGGCAATGTGAACTGTGATGACACAATTGTGGAAGTTTTTGACAAGCACAAGACAGCTCTGAAGAAATCACCAACCCTCTGTTTTATGAAGAAACCCAAAGCCACGGTGATGCCTCATCCGCCAAAGGTCCTGTAACACAAACGGCGAAGCCAGACCAAGGCCAGCCAGCACTCACTGGGATGTTTGGTTAAAATGTGGAAATGCTTCTCTCTCTTTTCTAACTTTAATTTTTCTAATTTTTTTCAAGAGGCAGGGTCTCACTATGTTCCCTAGGCTTGCCCCAAACTCTTAGATTCAAGCTATGTTCCCCCCTTAGCCTCCCAATTAGCTGGGACTACACAGGGGCATTCCACCATTCCTGGCTGGACTTTTCTCTTCCACAGCTTTGTTGGCATATAATTTACACACTGTAAACTTCAACCATTCTAAGTGTGCAGCCCAGTACTTTTTGTTTTGAGGATGTTTTGAGTCAAGGTCCACCTGTGTTGCCTAGGCTAGCCTTCAATTCCTAAGCTGAAGTGATTCTCCTGCCTCAGCCTCCTCAATACTTTTTTCATAAGGTTATGCAATTGGGTACCCATCAGCACACTCTAGGTTTAGAATATCTCCATCACCCCAAATAAAGAAAATATTAAACTATCTCTACAGCAGTTAATAAATAGCCATTGTCATCAACCCCTCAAAGAACCTCCCTTCCCAGGTGTCTGAATTATCCTGGACTCCCCATGATCTAATTAAAGATCCCTGGCCTGTGGAGCAGTTTCCAGGGCTCTCCCCCAGCAGCGAGCAGCCTCTGCTCTGAGTCATTATTACCTATGCCACACAGGTAGTTCACTAATGTTAGTACTGTTCTTAGGGAGGATCAGCTAGTACCTAGCTCTTCTGGTTACCAGTCCAATCTCAGGCCACATCTTGCCTCTTCAGACCAGTTGGCTCCCGACTGTCCTCCGAAGGTCGGTGTGTAGAAGGCTTGCCTTCAGACAGCGGCTCTACTGGGAAGTGGAGGACCCTTTAGAAGCGGGGAGTAGGAGGATGCTGTCACTGCGGCAGGCACTGGAAGAGGACGCTGGGAACCAGACCTCTTCCTCTCTTCCTGCTTTCTTGGCTGCCCTGAAGTGCACAGGCCTTCTCTTCTGTGTGCCCCTGCCAGGATACGCTCTGCTGCCACAGGCCCAAAGCAAGAGGCCCAAGCAATCACAGACTGAAGCCTCTGAAACCACAAGCCAGAATAAACCTTTCCAACTTCTACGCTGTTTATCTCCAGTATTTTGTCGCAGGAAAATACAAAATGGACAACCAGCAAACAAATGAATGAATGAAAAGAAAATATATTGTATGAAATTGTCCACATAAAAGATAAGGCAGATTTTGGAAGGGCAAGAGATGGAGCTCAGAGCGATCATCACTCTTTGGTATAGATGCTCTCATCTTGAGGTTTACAAATCTCCACTAGTGGATGAACATTAACTTGTAAGAGTCAGGTAACTTTCTGTGATACAAAGATCATAAATATGTTTTTTTTTTTTTTTTTTTTTTAACCAGGAATCGAACTCAGGACCTTGCACTTGCTAGACAGGTGCTTGTGCCCCTGAGCTATATTCCCAACCCGAGATCATGAGTATGCTCATGAGTATTTTTTCCAGTGGAGCAGGTCAATGGCTTTCATTTGACTTTTCACGGCATTCATTTGATTTTCTTTGGTGGTTCTGGGCATTGAGCAGCGTGCCTTCACACTGAGCTACCTCCCCTTTGCACTGAGGTCTGACCTACATCCCCTCCGTTCACCTTTTTTTGTTGTTTTTGTTTTGTTTTGTTTTGTGAGACAGAATCTTGCTGCTTTACTAAATTGCCCAGGCTGGGCCTTAACTTGTGATCCTCCTGCCTCAGCCTTCCAAAGTGGTGGGATTACAGGTACGTCAACAGATTTTAAAGGGGTCCATGGGACAAAAGGAACTACAGCCTTTTCAAGTAATAACTTACTAAGAACATGTTTGCTCAGGAGCCGTGGGAAGAAGTAAGCGAGGGCCAAAGATCTGGGTAAAAGGACTCTTGCTAGGGAGCCACTGGGGAAAGAATAAAGTACGGAGAGTCCTTGGCTTACAATGTTTCAGCGTGACTCTCGGACTTTATGGTGGTATAAAAGTGACACACAGTCACAGAAACTGTACTTCAGATTTTGGATTTGATCTGTTCTCGGGCTGCTGAGACACGGTACAGCGGTGCCTAGAGAGCCTGCGCGGTGAGAGCGAGTTTCAGCTTCCGGGAAGCCTCTTTGCCCGGGGGAGCAAGCCTCACCTACGGCGGGCTGGGGGGTGACAGTCTCTGGAGGTCATCTTTTACATTTTTCGTCATGTCTCCAAAATGCCCGTCTGGGTCTTCTGTGCCCACACAACCATTCTACTTCCAACTTCAGTATACAGTTCAAAACAAAGTATATGCGCCATCCATCGCCTCATTATAGAAGAGGCTCTGTGTTAGACCATTTGCCATTTGATGTAGGCTACGTACGTGCTCTGAGCAAGATTAAGTTAGGCCGGGATAACCTAGGATGCTTAGTAGCTTGGGTGTGTGCATACAGTTTTGTTTGAGGTACTAGGGTGCAACCCAGGGGCACTCTACACTGAGCGCTATCTCCGGTCCCCCCACCCCCATCCTTTTCTTGAGACAGGTCTCACCAGGGTGTCCTCACTTATTTCAAACTTGTGATCTTTGTGACTCAGTATCTCGAGCGGCTGGGATGACAGGCATGTGCCACCACGCCCAGCTTCATTTTCAACCTATGGTATTTATGGTGGTTTATTTGGAGGATATGTAAATTTTTTCCAGGTTCACAATTTTGTTTGCAAATAAGAATGAACTATTTTGACATGTAGAATAAGCCACCCAGAATAAGCTAAACACACAAACCATTGTTATATTATTAATTTTCTTTGCCTTTTATTAGGACATTTACATGAAATGACTGAGTTGGGTTCAAAATTATAAAAATAAGTTTTTGCTTTATAGATATGTTTTTCTTCTCTTTTTTGTTTTGTTTTCTTTTCTTTTCTTGTTTTTTCTTTTCTTCTGTCTTTTTGAGATAGGATCTTACTATGTAGTTCAGGCTGGCCTTAAACTCACTTCGTAGCCCAGGCGGGCCTCAAACTTGCAGCAATCCTCCTGTCTCAGCCTCCCGAGTGTGAGACTACAGGCCTGTGCCACCACACCCAGCCAAGATACACTTTTCTGAAAGTATGACTCTAAATTGTGAATTTAGAGGAATTGGAGGATTATGGGGAATACGGAGTTTTTGCCAGTTCATGAAATGAATTCCCACTAGAACTAATTAGTATTTAAAATCTGTTCATTAAAGCCTGCAAGTAGTTCTACATAAATACAATGAAACCAAGTTCATTCCTTCATATAGCTACAAAAGTGACTTTAAAACTTAGAACAATACAATATTGCCATTCTATCTATCTGTGTATCTCTCTTTTATTTTATTACACTGGAGACTGAAGCCAAGGCCCCACACTGCTGGGCAAGCACTCTACCAAGGTGCTACGTCTCAGCCCCTTGCTGTGGTGTTTTACACAAATCATTTAAAACTGTGACGTCCTAGACAGCAACAGTGGCATACGCCTATAGTTCTAGCACTTGGGAGGCTCAGGCAAGAAGACGGCGAATGAGGGGAGACCCTGTCTCAAAACAAAGCAAAATAAAATTTAAAAAAAAGTCTATTTTCTTTACTGAATGCATAGAATTTGAGATTTGGATGAAACTATAAAGATTATACAGTCTAACTTTCAAAATTTTACTGATAAAGAAACAAATCAAGCAAGGCATGGTGTCACATGCCTATACGCCCAGCATTCTGGGAGGCTGAGGCAGGAGGATCACAAGTTCAGGCCCACCCTGGGCAACTTAGTGAAACCCTGTCCAAATAAAAGGGCTACCAAGGATGTGGTCAGTTTAAAGACCTTCTGTCATTCCATCCTTTGAGTGTGTGTGTATCCTTGATCAAGCTCGTTAATGATAGGACTAGCATAAAAACACAAATGTTGAGCTCTTCATTTAGTGCCTTTTCCAATACGTACTAAGGAAGCTGTGGATTGTTGAACTACGTTCATTTCTCTAGTGAGATCAGCCACTAGGAACAAACTACTCCGCTGAGAGAGAACAAGCAAGAACTTCTGCCTCAACTGCTCTGCCTTTTCAAGCTCCAACCAACATACCTTCTTAGGACAGCTTTTGACGTCCCAGGCTAGGAAATCCATCGAACAAAAGTATCCACAAATCATACTGCATCATCAAAACTGTGGCTCAGTGGTCCTTTTGCGGGTCCTTCAGTGTGGTCAAGGAAGAATTGGCCTTCCCTGTAACCTGACAGTCATTTCCAGTTGCTGTGGAAATGTTCAAACAGTGCCATTATCAAATCTAACAAAAATAATCATTCTTTAATATCAT